GTCTTACCTGTACCACCAAGACCATCTAAAAAGAAAAGCCGATCTGGAGAATCAGAATTTAAAACGGCAGTGGTCACCGCATTAAAAACAATGTATTGTTCTTAGTTGAGCCTACCTACATCCTCCTCTAGAAAAGTAATGTTTTGATTATCAAAATCAATATTGTCATTGGAATCACCGCCAATATCAACAATGTTTGAATAATCAAACTCATTCAATTCTTCAATATTAAAAAAATCTGTAAGATGTTTGTCTGATGATGACAAATATTCTTCAATGGACAAAATTGCTTTGCAATAGCGATTTTGATCATTGCGCCAATCATCAGACATAGCATCAAGATGTGTCTTTAGTAAGCTAAGAGGATCTAGCGGTTGTCCAAACACAAGAAGTGTTGCAAACAACCGTCGAACTTATTTAGGCAACGCAATGAAAGTTGCCTCTTGCAGACAATTTTTCCATTCAGAATCATCTTGTAAAAGTCCTCTTGGAATACAAGCGGCCTTGTACGTTGGATGCACTATATCATGAAAACAAAGTAGGTCCTCAAATGAAGTTGGTGCCTCGACATGAGTCAACAATAAACGCAAGTAAAATACTTCGGTACCTATGGGAACCATGTTTATCCGACCAAAAACTTTTATCTTACGTACTCTTCTTTCCCACATGTTATTCTTCACATCCCACTTGTAATAGAGTGGAAGATCCATGTAACGAAGAAGCATATGGTTGCCTTGATTGCTAGAAGCAATTAAGGCACGAATATGGCAATTAAGCTCAAAAAACTTGGTGAGTTTAGTCTCAGCATTTTGATCAATCACCGAGTGCAAAGATGTTTCTTCCTTAAAAGTAACATATTGCTGACCGGGAAGGTGAACAGGCAAACGACAAATACTATGGCTCTTATTATTAGTTTCAAAACCAAAGAGCCTCCAACATGCTTCTTGGGCGGCCACATAACGATCCTCCAAGAAATCCTTAATCTCATCTACCACTTCATCTATTTCTACAACACCACGATCTGGACCTTTAAAAATATACTTGTGGAGGTATTTCACAGGTTTTACAGAATTGCAAATTTCCACATTAATGTAACAATTAAACCGACCTATCAAATATGGATTGTATGGCACAACCCATCGATTGTCTAAACGGACAATTTGTCCACATACACGTTTCTCGATATATCGACCTTGATTTCGACGACAGTACAAAACATGTCCATCACCATCCACCTCAGTAGTATCTCGAGCTTGCATCGGATAGTTCTTTGTACATCTATCGTCTTCCATACATGGACAATTGGGATTGTCCAAACCACATGGTCCATGCATCATGTGCTTGGCATCCGCGGCATATAATTGCGGTTGTCTATCTAAATCGAGAATCTCCGCACATACTATCCTATCTACAAGGTCACAGTCATTGACCTTGTCTTTCAACCAAAGAAGAATGTGTGCATGAGGAAGACCACGTTTTTGAAACTCAATAGTGTAACAAAAAGCAATTGTCTCTCCCATGACATTCTTCTTCGTAATCTCATCCATCAATGCTCTTAACTTGAGCTCGAAAACACGCACAACAATATCTGGATGATCAGGAGGACTTTGACCTGGCTCAAGCTCATCAAGAATCTCAGGCCAGGTCGGATTACATGTCATTGTCACAAACAAATCGGGTTTTTCTAAAACTCTAACCAAAACCATACTATCATGAAAGAGTTTTTGCATGTATCGGGGGGAACCAATGAATGTTGCAGGTAAGACAATGCGACGCCAAATGCGTGCTCCATTGTCTTCCTGCAAAGCATCTACGACCTCCTGATAGCACTCTGCATGAAGTTCAGTTTGATGTTGCCTAATGAAAAGCAAATTTTCATGTTCTACACGTAAATACTGATCCACTACATATTGCTGGAATAATCTACCAGCCTTATGTAATACATTAGATTCTGGGTGCTTTTGAAGCAAATATTGGACATATGACTTTAAAGTCACTCCAGTATCTGCTTTAAAAGTTGGTGACCACCCACATTGCCCATCAGGAAACAACAAAGGATAGGATAAAGCATCGTAAGCTGAATGAATTTCTTTTATTCGTATTAAATCTCCACCACGTTGGTGAAGAATAATATCTCTACCAAAATTCATGTATTGTTCTTCAAGAACAACAGCAGCAACTTCTGGAACTACTTGGCGATTATATCGACGGGGATGTTCACCAAAAGGAACCTCATCGGAGATACAAAGTCCCATGTTTTGTCCCCTTTGAAGAACATCACGCAAAGACTTAAAACCACGAACCAACACATTTATGGATTCTAAAACTTCTTGAATGTTGTTAACAACATCACGATGAAGATCATCAAAAATCTCCATAGGACGATTTGTTTGTAAACCATCATCCAAGAAATAAATTTGTGCAAATCTAGCACCTTCGTCTAAACCGGGTTGTAAATTTCCAATGTGATGGCATAACTCTCCGTTCACATGAAAAGTATATACCCCTCTACCTTCAACTTGGCCAGACTGAAACTTACTACGCATACTTGTAAATGCAAAAGCTTGATTATACTTTCGAATGGATTTAAGGAACTCTCGAGATTTAGGTGTTGTGCCCATATAAAGCTCATTGAGCATTGGATGGACAATGAGGTGATTAACATGTTCATTGGCAATTTTGCCATTGTAACAACAAATGGTATTTTTTTCTTTTTTAAAAAAAAAAGCCAAACATTTTGGACATTGGATGCACATTGATCCAACACTATCAACATTGACATCTACAAAATTATCAATGGTAGACAAAGCACGAGCCATTCTCTAGAAAGATGACAATATAATAAAAAAAGTGGAATTTAGGATAGGAGAATGAAAACCCTATCATAAATTCTAAACTCCACAAAGATAAAAAGATATATCAATAAATAGGATTTAGTGTAGGATAGAAGAAATCCTACCCTAAATCCTAAACTCCACAAAGATTGAAAAAATTGATAAGAAAAAGCAAAGTTTAATGTAAGATAACAAAAATCCTAACGTGAATCCCAAACCATTTCAAAACTCACAAAAGTAAGGTTTTTGATAGTACCTTTGTAAGCTTGTGCTCCAAGAAAGTTGCACCTTTTGATGAAATTTCACTCCACTCTAAAAAGTTTACGTTCAATGCACTACACTTCAAAGAAAAAAAATAGATTAGGTTGGCGCTTGCTTTGCAACACATTCGTAGCCAAGAGATATTGATCTAACACACAAAAAACATGCATGAAAACAAATGTGATGAACATATTCTCAAGCCATACTCTACCTCCGAAATTTAGACTCTAAATTTTTTTTTTTGAAGACACTTAAAAATGTCGATTTTTGAAAACTTTTGTCACAAATCATTTTCTTTCCTACTAATTGAAAATGCACCTAAAAAGTCCAAATCCGAAGTCGGAATTCAAAAATAATTAGTATTTTGGGAGATATTAACTCACTGTTAAATGAATTCTGCCCAAAATACAGTTTCATCCATAGTAGATGAAAAATCGCACAGCGGATGAAAACCATGTAGCAGATGAAAAAATGCAATGGATGAAAAATTGCAGCAGATGAAAAATTGTTGGGCAAAAAAAAGAAAAAAAAAGTTAAAAAAAATAAAAGTAAAAGTTTTGGCGATGTGCACATCACAGAACAACAGCTGCTCGTTTTTGAGTCCTTGATGTTTTTTGTTTTTTGTTTGGTTTTTTGCAACTAAAACCACTAAATTTCAACTTGATTTGAAAGTTTAATGTTTGAAAACTTGATTTTATGATTACCCAAAATCAAAAATTACCAAAAATTTCAATCTTTCAAAACCTTTCAATCTTTCACAATCTTGCAAAAATTGCAATCTCACCTCAAATTTCTTGAACAATCTCTACAACTTGAACTTTGTAACTCCAACTCCAACTCCAACTTTGTATTCAAACCTCCAAGATCACATCAACCAACTCCAACTCCAACTTTGTATTCAAACCTCCAAGATCACATCAACCAACTCCTACTCCAACTTTGTATTCAAACCTTCAAGATCACATCAACCAATTCCAACTCCAACTTCACAACTTACAACTTCCAACTTACAACTTCCAACTTACAACTTCCAACTTACAACTCACAATTTACAACTCAATCTTGAAGTGCACAATCCAAAAAATATTTTGAACATCAAATTTGTAATCAAGAGCTTCAAAATTGTAATCAAGAGTTTCAAATTTGTTTTGGGTAAGCTCAAATTGTAACACACACTTTGGATTGCACACATCCACAAACTCAACGTTCAAATTTCAAAACCGCGCAATAATAAACGGAGCAGTCAACCGCGCAGTCAACAAAAGTAAAAGTAAAAGTCACAGTAAATATAAAAGTAAAAGTCACAGTAAAGGTAAAAGTAAAAAGTCATAGTAAAAGGAAAAGGAAAAGGAAAAGTATAGTTGACTTTTGATAGGGCTTATGATTTTAGTAGTATGATTTATTTTTCTAAATAAGAATAGAGACACCTAACATATCTTTAATTCTTTATAACTTTGCAACAAGTTTTAAGCATTAAAAATGATTAATATATCTAATAATATCATATTTTATATTTTATTAAGAAGTTAAAGTTCTATAATCAAATTTTTAAAAGAATTTAAAACAAAGATACATTACTAATAATATATATTTTTATACATTAAAATATATATAAAAATATAAAATATATTTAAAATTAAAATTATAATTATTTCTAAATAAAATTTTGAATTTTTTTTGAATCGTATATAATTTTTTTTGTTTATATATATATATATATAAAAATTTATACTTCTTAGATAGAATTGAAATAATACTATTTTTTTTATTAGGATTACAAGATCTTCGCACACTTTAAACTTAGAAGTCCACTTTGAAATGCTATGGTTTGTTAGTCTTTTTAATGTCCCATATATAATTATAAAAAATAAAAATAAATAAAAATCTATTTTGAAAGCCTTGATATTTAGATATGGCATAAAGAAAAAAGAGACCATTAATGGACCAAATCATTTTTTTTGTTATAAGTCTAAATATTTTAATCTTTATCTTAATTCAAATAATTATAATAAGTATTAAAAATTTAATATATTGATTTTTTAAGAATAATTTAAAGTAATTTTATATTATTATTATTATATGTTCTCTTTTTACTAACCATCCCATTGAGATGGATACAATGGAAGTTCTAAAAGCAATGCTACTCATGCTATGTAGAAAAAAAATGTATTTCACTTGATTTTTTTGTTCATGATTTTTTTAAAATATAAAGCAAACTTAATGATACTTCTTAATTTCAATCAGTCAATATGTTTAAAAGTTGTCTCTCACCTTGTCTCCTATATATAAAGTATCTATTATATATACATAACTTAATTGTCTCTAATTATAATATATCAAGATTTCTATTAAAGACTCAGTAGAAGATTGTTTGATAAATTTTGAATTTAAAGTAACAATGCTTCTATTAGTGGTATTAGAATTAGAACTTGCCAAAGTGATCTATGATACATGATATGTTGTTCTTATGTTATAATATTTTATTTGTACTAAAATTAATTTTATTAAAGAAGTGAGGATATATAAAAGAAAAGATAAAAGACCACAATTTTCAAATCCTTTTAATGGCTATGATTAAAAAGCTTCACATGATTGCACAAAAATAGTCTAATAGATATGAGATGAAAAGTTAAAGTGAGACTTTTATCTCTATCTCTCTCTCTCTCTCTCTCTCTCTCTCTCTCTATATATATATATATATATATATATATGATAGCATTTCTTTTTAAGAAATGATAATAATTCCACCTTAAAGACATAATTTTTACAAAAAAGAAATGAAAAGAAGAAGTATAAAATATTTCTATAAATAATCATAAAATAAAAATAAAAATTTATTATTTTTTTATAACAATTAAAATTGAGATATGAAGTGAAACATCTAAATTTTTAATATAAAATGATTTTTTTTCCATTTCACAACTTCTTTTCACTTTTTAAATCTCCAAATGCTAAGATTTTTGAAGAAGAGTTTTTGCTATTAAGTATAGGACTTTTCTAAAGCTTTTGAAGAATGGCCTCTTACAATAGGCTTCTAGATATCAAACCTTCACAAGTATCTAAATTGTACTTGTTGGATTTTACAAAGATGCAATATTATATTCTATATTAGTTTGAATTTTTGTTCATGTTATTTTTAATATTAATTTTATCTAATTTTACATCAAATAAGATCAAATTGATATATCCAAAAAGTAAACTTATAATATTAGTAATACTACATCTCTAAGTAGATAATATTTAGCAAATACAGTATTATTCCTATAATAAATAAATAAAAAATACTTATGTTGAATATCTCTTTGCTTAAACATTTATTAAAATTTTGAGACAGTGGGTGAGTGCGGATATGGGGGGCAATCCAAAAATTCATATAACTATGTTTTAAAACTCAATGCAACCCAACCGGGCATACTCAGAACTTTTGGACCTGCCCGGGGTGGCATTTGGATGACCTCCGACTTCAAACATTCATCCACATTCGTTCACACACCGGGGAACTATTTAGTCGTGGCTCACACCGCGTGGAGGTAACGAACATCACCGACGCTGGTGGTTCAAGTCCACTGCTCCGCAATCGAGTATTTCGGCATGGAAAGAGACCCACCCTTCACATCATGAAAATGGGATTGAGAGCATCATGACAGCGATCCGGCACACAAATCCACCACACCCACAATCGCCCACTCACGACGACATGACCCAGTATTTATCGAATTTCCCATCCTGGTTTGAGAGCAACCAGGGGCATCAATGGTCCTTGGGTCCGCAGGCTGGAGGATCGAGTGTCCTCAGCAATGAAACCGCATCAAGAAGGGCAGGAGACTCAAGGGGAGGGAGTCGCAAAACCTCGGCTTGGGAGGGACGGCACGACATTGATGGCAGCAGTAGGGAGCAGCATGTGTAAGCCTGGCTGGTAAGGACAGTGAGAGTTTTCTGCCACTCTCGCTGCTGCATCATCGCAACCCACGCCCATACACCTCTCTCGCCTTTTTTTCTTTTTTTTTTTTTTTTTGTTTTGTTTTGTTTGTTGTTTCCCCTCGTTGTTTGAGTCTGCTGGGCCCAGCCTCTTGCCACTCTTTGTCACAACTACTCGTTTTTCTAAACTTTTCGCCGTCACAGTGCCGAAGATAGAGCTTTGTGTGGTGATTTCGATGCGCAGGAGCTTGCTTTGAGGCCTAATTGCGGTGCAGCTTTCGGTCGCTGTTTGAGCGTCGAGCCTCGTCTGTTGGGACGGACCAGTGGTTTCGTCCAATGATCATCATTTGGCGATTGGGTAAGGGACGATGTAGTTTGGAGTTGAAGTGGCTTACGAATTGCGTTTTGGTGAGAAGTGGTGGGGTTTTACTTAAGCTTCCATGTTGGGGTTTGGGAACCTGCTGACAAGGTTGTGTGTAATATGGTGATGTTGTGAGTAGATATAAGCGGGTCTTGTTTTCTTTGCTGTTGGGTTTAGTCAGCAGATTCGAGTTTCGTACTCTAGAAGCTGTAGGAGTCAACATTTTGAGTTTGGTGATCGACACACAGTTTGAGCTTCGCAGCTCGTAAATTCCCGTATCGGGGGTATTGACTACATCGACGGTATCATTTTAATTCTCTTGGAGAGACCTTAATCTGGTGTTTTGAACAGAAGCCGGAAGCTTCCGCTGCACTTTTGATCGTACCAAATTTAGCATGTGGTGTGATTGACCGAGTGGTTCTCGCTCTATTTGCAGAACAACGAGGGGCTGGAGGAGCGCGCAAGCTTAGAGAATCGCTTCATGAGAGTATTCGCAAACCTCCAGATAGTGCGTTTCCCTTGATTGATGAGTCGGGGCATTAGTGTTGTTTTCTTTTAGGGTAGACGAAATATCCCAGCGGAGGTGGACTTGACGGGAAGGTGGACGGGCCGATTCAAATTGATTGTGTGCATGAAGACAATGTGGTAGAGGGTATAAGGAATTTTGAATTGAGAAGCTGGAGGGGCGCAATGCTTGTACAGCAGGAAAATGGGAAGGCGGCGTGGTTAGGGAATGGCTCTCGAAATGTACCCGAAGAGGACGCCGCTGCCGTCGAGGTGGAATCCGAGGAGGAGGAAACCATGGATCCTTACAGCGATGTAATGAGACCGCCCGAGGTGGCATTCGAGGCGGAGAGCAGCGCCGCGGGCATGCTTGGGGCCTGGCTCATGGAGAACCTCAGCAAGGTTGTAATTGTTGTGTTCGTGTTCCTTAGCGCGCTAGTGCTCATCGTGATGCTCAACTACGGGGAACAGAGTGCTCTCATCTGTGCCGAGGCAGTCGCCGAGGAGCTGCAGAGAATTCCGTATCCCGATTTGAACCTAAACCACATCACCCCGCGAGTGCACAAAGGACGATACGCTGCAATGAGAACGGATAAGTGGATCGTGGTGGCCGCTCTCGGTGCCCCGACATCGCACATTCAAGCATTGACCAGGGTGAGTGGGTGGCAGGTGCTCGCCGTAGCCGGTGAGGACACGCCAGCGGACTGGAAGGTTGCGGGAGTCATCTTCCTGTCCATGGACGACCAAGCTGCTCTCAGCTACCGAATTTCAGCTCATCTTCCTTACAACAACTATTTGCGGAAGAACATCGGCTACTTGTTTGCGATCCAACACGGTGCAAAGATAATCTACGACGCTGACGACAAGGAGTCGGTGATTGGTGATGACCTGGAGTCCAAATTTGACGTGTACCTTCAAGGGCGACGAGCTCGGCGAGGGCCAATTCTTCAGTTTCGCACTCTCCCTAACCGGACTATGGTGAACCCTTTCGTTCATTTCGGCCAGAAAACGGTTTGGCCGAGAGGTTATCCGTTGGAGTTTGTACAGCAAATCGCACCAGACATTTCATACAACGAGGTATTCCCCGGCAAGCAATTCATCCAGCAAGGGCTTGCAAACGGCTTACCCGACGTCGACTCCATCTTTTACAACACCCGTCGATCCCATGACGGCAATATCAACATAAATTTCGACGTGAATGCGCCACCTGTCTCTCTCCCCCATGGCACAATGGCACCCTGTAATGCCTTCAACACGCTGTTTCACTCTGCAGCTTTCTGGGGACTGTTGCTGCCTGTGACGCTCAGCCCGAAGACAGCAGACATTGTGCGGGGGTACTGGGCGCAGCGCATAGTCTGGGAAGTTGGTGGCATGATGGTGGTTTACCCGCCGACTGTGGTGCGAGAGGACTCCGGCATGCCGTTGTCCTTCCTCGACGAGAAGGATTTACATGCGGAGTCCCGCCGCCTGGTGGAATTTCTCGTGAAATGGCGGTCTTCGAAAACTACTCTCTTCGATAGAATTATCCACCTGACGCATACCATGGCCTTTGAAGGCTTCTGGGGGGCTCAGGACGTTGAGCTCGCGGCTGATTGGCTCAAGGACCTTCTGTCGGTTGGGTGGCGTCAGCCTCGCTTGGTGGGGAGCGATCTCGATGTGCAGATAGACGATTCAACTCCTTCCTTAGCGCACAAGCAGTTCGTCCCCCTCTCCTACCCTACGGTCCATTTGGGCGTGGAGGATTGCACCGCTTTGACGGAAGAGTTTGTGGATTTTCTCACTTGGCGGAAGTTTTATGGCAACATGGTGCTCGTGCTTGAATGCTCTTGGCCCTTGAATCACACAGTGTTGGCGTGGCGGCTCTTATATGGGCGATTGTTCAAGCACGTCGTCGTCCTTTCGCAGGAGAATGAACCAGGGCTGGGCGTGCGCGCCAGCGACTGGTGGCTGTCATACAGGTGCGTGGATCCCCTCTTGGTAGAGGAAAAATTGTTCTGCTCACAGTATCAGAATTTCTCCATTCTTGGCATGGATCGTTGACATGTTCTCTCCACTTCCTTTGATGTGCAGTATGTTCCCGAAGATCTTCGAGAAGTATCCTACAGCCGATGGGTTCGTGGTAATGAGGGAGGCTGTTGTGTTCAATTATTGGAATCTAGCATCTGCCAACAAGACGAATCTCTGGAACTTCCATCAGGTATGTTGCATTTTCGTGTGGTCTATTTCCGTAGAGGTAGTCTCCGATCAGAACGTCGTTTCAGTTGGTGAAGAATGTACCCCTGAATTTTAGTCTGGCGTGGTTTGGCCAGTTGAAAGCAATCTGCCGAACGGTCGACTACAATGCCTCAGGAACAGACTGGTATCTCACTAAAAACCACAAGAACGGTGTGAAGAAGACTGTAAGCCGGTTGCCAGTGGAGTACCGCACCACATACAAGGAAACTATGGACGATGATCACTTCGTTGTCTGCAGCTCGGACATCTTTTACCTCCCTCGCCGCTACATTAACGATTTTGCAGCTATAGTACCTTTGGCGGCGAAGGTGAAGCTACACAGAGATCTAGCCCTACCGTTGATATTCATGGCGTTGGATAAGCCCAGCAACTTTGATGCACATGCGTTTAGTAGTATAAAACAGCTTTCAGAGGAGGAAAAAGTTGATTCTGCCATCGCGTACACTCCTGCATTCCACGTGGTCTTCCCGTGGGCCGCGACAAGTGACATTGAACTTTACCGAATTATCAAAGCCATGTCGGCCGGAGACCCTTCCTTGGTGGACATCATTGAGTAACTTTAATGACAGTTAAATGTATTACTTTTGAAAAAAAGAAAGAAAAAAGAAGCACATTATATGCTCCTTCCCCAACGATCAGAATTCGGTTGTATGTTATCTGTTTCGCTTTCAGTCGAAGTTTAGATAATTTAAAGCGAGTACAAGCACCTATGTCGATTTTAGAGACTCATCGGTAACGTTGCTAAAAGACAAGGCAACGATTCTCAATCTCTACGACAGACTAGCTAAATGAACATGGGCATATTTTATGTTTTCTTTTTGCACGAATGAGCAGTGATACCGCAGTCAATGAATCCGGCTGATCTACTCCAGGGGGTCAAAGGGCATCCAGATTAGTTAATACGCTAGTTTATGAGTGTTCGAGTGGAAACGTCCTAACGACCTGAAAACGGGGATCTCTCAGTACCACTGCATGCTCACTTCAACTCAGCGAAGAATTTCCATTTATCACTTCAAGGAGTAGGCACGTCTCAGGATAGATGCCTAAGATGTGAATTATCAACGTGAAGCGCCGCAGCTACAGAGTGATGTACTTTCCCTCCTTGCTCCCTGCTTGCTTGGCTGATAGATGCAAGGGCAGCTTCAGAGTCAAGGTCGAACTAGACTTCATACCAACTTTACTTTTCCGCTCCTTTCACAAGGAGCGCAATCTCCAGCAATGCAATTGCTTCTAGCTTCTCATCAGCCACACTCTACTAAAGCGTGATGTTGGATTATTGCATCTTACTTGTCATTGCACTACTACCCTCAGCGCTATTGCGTTGTAGACTCGTGATGAGAGGAAGAATTCGCTGCAGGCAAGACGCGAAGAGGAAATGGTGTTTGAGCAGCATGTGCCTGGGAGCACTGAGTCAAGCAATATCCACTACAGGAAGATGGGTTTTCTACCTGTTTGCAGTTTTCATCACTTGGGCACATTGCATTTGGCCATTTCCATGTCCAACATGCTGCAGGCAAACTAGCAACTAACTCCAACTGTGGAGATCTCCAAAAGAGCTGCTAGCCTCTGGCAACAGTGGTTATGAGACTGAGCTTGGATTCCAGGAGCATCTAGAATCTTCGTAATGGAATCCATAGCAGCAACGTGTTGCAACCCCCCGCTGTGTGTTGGATGAATTTTCATGCAATTGAGAGTTTTCTAGAACCATCATGGTAATAAAAATTCATTTTGTGTAATTTAATCCCAATCCAAGGAATTAAAAGATACCACATATTACGTTGCTTTCACAAGTTCAGTTTTTTCTGAAATCTATGTTTTTTCTGTTAATTATGTTGTGGATTATTTAGTTTTGAGAATTATTAATCTTTTTTTGCAGTTGTTTATTAAAATGCTGTATAAATTTTTAAATTTTTTTTTGTGTGTGTGTGTATATATATATATATATATATTCATACACATCTATAAGATAAATAAAAGGAATTGTTGAATTGACCCATCTGAACAAGCATCACACATGAGGGATCCAACATCTTCTTGCAAATCAAAAAAAGATACAAAAGTGGAGCCTACTAAGCACCTTTGTTTTAAGCAAATTTCCAAAGAATACTCACAAAACAATAAAATCAAGAATGTGTTCGTCGAACTTAGTAAAAAGGTGGATCAATTTAAAAAATTTCTAAATAAAAGAATTGTAAAAAAAAATCTTATTATTATAAGAAACTATATACTATTATATATCTATTTAAAGAATAGTATTTTTTTTAAAAAATGGTGCTAATCTACTTATAGTTTATATTAATTCTAAAAATTTTAAGTGTTTTAAGTCAATACATGTATTAAATCATTCCTAAGCTTGTTAAAGCATATTTTTGTCATAATTTGTATTTCTTATTATAGATTGTTTGTTTATTTGTTTATTTAAAAATACTTTTGAAATGTCTAGTTTGGATGCTATTTTTTAAATAATTTTTTTATTATAATATCTTTGTATTTTGATGCAATTATTTTAATATAACATCTTTATATTTATAGTAATTCTAAGATATTACCAAAATATAAAGAAGTTGTAATAAGATACTTGTATTTTTTAAAATGTCAAAAAAAATTACATATATTATAGGTACAATAAAATTTTCTAAAAGTAGAAAATCTTAAATACAAGACAATAAATCTTATTAAAAGATATTTTTGGTGGTTTAAAATATAAAAAGTTAAAAATTTTGTATAATCTTATATTATTTTTTAAAAAATAAAGATTCTATATTGTCAATTATATATATATACCATTTTTTATTATAAAAACATTTCAATTATGTGTATAATATATTTCATTATATATTTATTAACTTAAGACTTTTACAAATTTAATTTTGTAATAGTAGATTGTAAAATAAAATAAAAAACTTTTGTTATTAGTATAAAATATTTTAAAAATCTAAAAATTATTATTATTATTATTATTATTATTGTTTTTTAATAATATCTACTATTATCACAAAATTTAAGTTGAATTTATATTTGATTAAGAATCTAAGTTTGCAACTAAATTTTTGAAAAATATCTTAAAAACATTATTAGTTAATAAAAACAGTTTGTGAATATTTTATTGTTAAACTGATAGAATATCAAGTATAATTAAGAAAAACTTCAAAAACTTTCTTGTGATTAATAAATTTTTTATGTAATAATATAATATATTTATTTTTAATCTCAAATATTAAATAAATTAAATAGAAAATTTGTTAATAGACATATTTGGATTAATATTATAAATAATTTATTTAAGTTAATATCATAAGATTACAAAAAGAAATAATATTTTTTACTATTTAATAGATCTAAGGACCAAAATCTAATACTTCAGACATAATCGCATTTAAAATTTGGTAGATCAAAAAAATCTCTAAATTTGGATTTGGTTTAAAAAGAACTTATTGATTCACCTTAAACTATTGTTAAATGGATGCATCTCTTGTTTAATATTGATTTGTAAATATTAACTGACTTAATTAAGTAAAAAGAATTTGAAAGAATTGAATCAATAAAGAAATGGAGACTAATAGGCTTTGTGCAATAAAAGGTAGATTGAAGATATTTAATTTGCATAAAAACTAGATGTTTAGAATACGAATTGACAATTTTTTTTTTTTTTTTTTTTTTTTTTTTCCAGGGGTTACTAAAGAAGTAAAAAAGTAAAGAAAGAAGAAATAGCTATAAGATAAAAATATCTAAAATGACTATTTTTATACAAAAGTAGCTAATAAGTCTTAAATTAATACTAAAATGTACAAAAGATCTTGATAAAAATTAAAGGTGGTATTAATCATGCTTTTATACAGTGATTCAAAAAACTATTACAATATTGACATATTTTAGAAAGAATAGTGTATTAAAAATGAATTGTAGTGAATAATGACACATAGTTTATATACCAAATAAAATATTCCTTTACAGCTACCAAATGAGTCCAAGTTGAAAAGATTCTATTAGATAATTGGAGAGTTATAACCAATCTAAATTGGAGTAGTATTGAAACAATTTTTTGAGTGTGGTGTCTAATTTTTGGATTCTATCAATTACTCAATATTATAGCATTTTATCATCATCAAATTTACTATGATAATATTATTATTAATCTAATGACCCTAGGCATAACTGAAAATTAGCACGGAAGTGATTTGATCATCATCAGATTAAAGTAATCGATTAGTCTGATGAGTCTCATAATCTTAATTCTATTGAATATCTTTGAGAGCACCTCAAATATCAGTTCAACACCTAGAAGATAAAACCGAAAGGAGTTTGGAAATTATGAAAAAAAATAGCTATGGAATGGAATAATATTGAAGCAATTTTTGTCAAAAGTTAATAAAAAATATGCCTAAGAGGTTGAAAACAATTATCAAGGTCAAAGGAGGTCCTACAAAGTATTGATATGTAATTGGATACCATACTCAAAAAAATATTTTAATATTATTTTAAATTGGATTAGTCATAGCTCTACAATTACTTAATGGATTTTTTTTTCAATCTGGGCTTATTTGGTAGCTATAAAAGAGTATTTTATTTGCTATATAAATCACGTTGTTGTATTACGTGTTGTATGGTTTAGGAATGCAGTGTGCACCTAGCTGTAGAAGTGTGAGTCCCACAAATTGATCTTAATTAGTGGATTAGTTAAAAACATAGTTTTAAGTCATTCAATTATACAAATGTTAAGAATAGAGAATTTTTTTTTGACTATTCAAGTATTTATTATAATTTAGAAGTATTTATAAGTTGCAAAAGTGTTATTAGAAGAAAAGTTATAAAAATAGAGTCTTAGTAAGTCTTGGAGGTAATTATCTTAGTTAGTTTAGTATTTTTTTTATTATTAAGTATTAAGAATTAGTTATTGAAACCAATATCTTCATTGGCTCCTACATATATGTATTACTTATAAAATCCTATCAATGATTAGTTAATAGTTAGAAGAAGCATGAAAAAGAGCTTCATCTCTTTTTAGTTAATTATATAAAAAATAGAATTTTTAGCTGATTTAAATTGATTTTATTACTATAAAAAATCCCCAAGATAGGAAAATACAGCCTTATATGGATATTAGTATTATAGAAATATTATAGGATTTTTTAGAATTTTTTTAGAATTTTTTATGAATTTTTAGAGAAAATTTCAAGACTTTGGTAAAATTGAGTTTTATCACCTTGAGAGCCATTGTGAAGAAATGAAGCAAGATTTGAAGACTATGCAAGGTTTCTAAGCTAATTGGATGTTTTTGAACACCATGGTGAAGTCAAAAATGCAAAAAAAGTAGTTTTACTAGTAGAGAATAGGAGGATCAGCAGCTAGTGTAGTCCTTGTAGGAAGAGAGGTGCACAATTCCCATATGGGTTGTAGCACCTTGGGTATAGGTAGGAAGATAAGACTAAGGCCTCAAGGCCTCTTGTGGGGGGGGGGATATACACTGCTTGTGAGCCTTGGTGAGGCTCAAACTCCTGATTTCTTAAGCAAGTTATCCTTGAGGTAAAAATTATTCACTTAACTTTTTTATTATTTACATTCTATCTATAATCTATCATAACTTACTCATAGTAACTTGGAATTACATGACTTTTATGTCATTGGAAAGATAGAAAAAATATCTATCTAAAAATATATTTTTTACTTTTTAATTTTACTTTTTACTGGATGATAAATCTAGTGAACGGACTGTGACTTCATTTTGGATGTTGTGATTACTTGATTTCATCTCTTTTACTTGTATTGTGGTTGTTCCTCCTTGGTCCTTTGCCAATTGCTTACTTCACTTCACACCACCAATTAAAAGCAATTCTTAATTGAGGCCATCTTGTAATTGGAGCTGAGGAGTGAAATTTACACTCACATAAATGGTGTGTTTGCTGGGAGATGGTGCTTCTAATGGTGTGTGAGAATGTGAAGTGAGCATTTTGTGAATGATCTTGCTTGGACTTGTTGTGTGAGCATTTCAACTTAGTCTTCATTATTTGTAAGTTTCTACCTCTCTCCTTGTTAGTGTAAACAAGGCCTTCAAATTTTTTAAAATAAAAAGATAGTCAAAAGTTTTGTTGTTGAGTAGAATGTTGATTTGCTCTCGGATTTTTGTCAATCAGTTTTTGGGTGTTTGATAGTTGAAGTTGAAACTTTGGCAGTGAATGTATCTTGCTGTTAGCTTTCTAAAAAGATATTATATGCTAAATTTGGAGCTATAACGAATTTGTGGTGAATTTTCGAACACAAGAGGGTTTACTGTCTTGGCAGTTTTGTATATCCTATCTTTGACAAGGCATTTCTTAGTGCCGGATAATTATTTCATAGTGAAAATTTTTAAGTACAAGCACTTTAAAGTTGAGGTTGTAGTGGTGCAAATTTCAATGCTTTTGAATCAAAATTGAATTTGTGGCGACTTTTGGAGTGGAGAGAGGTTGCTGCCTTGAGTAAATACAATTGAGCATCAAGGGTGGAGCTCGTCTTCAAGGTTTCATCACTCCCCTTCCTTGTAAATTTTCTAGTTGAGGGCCTTTCTCTAGTGGTAGGAGGATTTAATCACTCCCTCCACCCCTCGTACCATCTCTTTGCATCCTTGTAAATTTCTAGTAGAGGGCCTTTCTCTAGTGGTAGGGAGATTTAATCACTCCTTCTACCCCTCATATCCCTTCTATTCATAGGAATAGTGTAGAAAGAGCTTAAGAAGAATTCAAGGAAATTCTTTATCAACAAAAAAAAAAAAAGAGATTCAAGAAGAAAAAATAGGTAGAAAAATTAGATAGAAGAAATTTAGAACAAGTAAGATAAAAGAAGAAAATAAGAAAAGAGAAGACCAACAAGTTCAAATTATAATCTAAGTTGAGTATATTTTTAATAAAAATCATTTAGTTTCAAATTTATTTTACTAACACAGATTGTGGATTGAGAAAAGGGAACATAGCTTTGCAAAATTAGGTGGGTTCCAAACTTGAGTTCTTTAATTTTATTTGAAATTTTAGACATGCAAGGAAAGAGCACGACTTGGCGAAATTAGATGGGTTTCAAACCTAACTCTTCATTTTTATTTCAAGTTTAGGTATACTTAGAAAGGAGCACGGCAAGACTTGTTGTCCCCAGTATTTTCTAAATCCCTTCTATCTTCTTATAGTGTAAGTGGACAAAATCTATTACACGACCCAAGAATTTTTCCATTCCACCTCTTTTCCTCAATGGAACCTAGTGTGTTATTGATAAGTGCTATTTCAATTTGTAGTTGTTTTGTAGAAAGTGAAGTCGGGTTAATGGCCAATATGACCTTCTTTTGTTATTGAGCCTGTACTTGTGGGACATGATGACCTCCATGAGATAAAGTTAAAAGCAACAGGTTGCCCTTTTCCTAGTCTATGTGATTTTTGTGGTATCCATGTGATAAAAATTTTAAATTACTTGTATTTTTTTTAGCCTCATTTTTCAATCTCTAAATTATGAATCAAGTCCAATTAATGGGTGACTCCACCATATTAAGATCGACACAAGATCTTAACTTGGTATTTAATTAGATCTCATGTGACACTCATAAAAAAGGTTTAATTATTGGGTGAAACCACTAATTTGAGATCGGCACAAGATTTCATCTTAGTATATAATTAAATTACGTGCCTCACAAATAGATAAGAAGAAAAAAGATTTTATGTTATTTCACAAAATAAAATAAAAATAATTTAAAGTCCACTTGTTTTATTTTTAATCACCTATTAGGTCTTTTATCTTAAGAGAGTCATTGAATAGCCATATACTTAATTATATGCTATATAGAATTGAATCTAAGATAGTTTATCTTCTCTCTATTGGCCATATTTTACAATCTAGATATATTTTATAATCTAGATCATATATTGAACCTATAGTTTTAGAAACCCACATATTAAAAGAACCTTGTGACAAGATGTCACAAGCTTCTATCGGGATGGAGCATTGTAGAGGGCATCTTTCAGAGCCTCAAGTAGAGCCTTTACCATTTCCAACTCAAAGGGCTAATGTAGCCAATGAAGATAACCACAACTTCCAAGACAATATCCAAATCGACCCGATGATGTTACCTAGGAGATTACCAATTGTAATACCTTTAGGATTACAAAGAGCAACAATTCTATCAAACCTCCCAAGATTTAGTCGATCTATCAATGAAGACCTGGCAGCCCACATAAAAAGGTTTGTAGAAGTGCTTATCACTAGTTTAGTAATCAATCATCGCTACTACTTAATATGATTTTCAGCAACCTTGATAGATTCTGCATATGCTTGATATAGATCCCATATAGAGGAGACATTCACTAAATGGGAACAACTTCTAGCAATATTTTTTCATCAAAATAGGCTGGTAATTGGCCAACAACAAGCTCTTTTATCCTTAACAACAATTAGATAGGATCCTTTAGAAGTTGTTACTTCTTATGTGAGGCAATTTTGAGTAGTATGTACTCGATATGTTGGTAACCTTTTAAATGAGGATACCATAAGGCACTACTTTATTCAAGGTTTTGCCATGCCTTCTACAATTTGGGATATCCTAAAAAAGAGACCTAAAGACTTAAAAGGAGCCATTCAAGCCGCTTTGGAAGTAGAAGTTATTGATAAGTAAAATGATTATATACTTCGAAGGACAGAAGAACCAGTATCCTCCTTTATACCTTTGCAACATCAACCTAAAAAATTTCATGAACTTCTAGCTTTAAGCTACTCACAACCTTTTACTTTTTTCTTACCAATTAGTAATCTAATACCTTTAGTTATACAACCTCTACATGATCAAGTTCAAATTAAGACATTTTATGATACTAAGTTGGAGGAATTTAAAAGTGAAGTAAAGCAAATCAATGAGGTATTCAAAAATGAGATGATGAATACTATGAAAGCTATTAGTAAATAAATGTCTTGCCTCATTAAAAATCAAACTCCAAATATAGAGCCTAAATACCACAAATCGGGAATTCATAATTTTGGATTGTGGTGTACAAACTGTAGACAAGTAAATCACATTACTCAATTTTATCCATGGTTTTTATAACAACCATTTATAGAAAAGAATCAACCACAACCTTATAGATTTCCTCACCATTCAAGACAAGAAGGTCCTAATCTTCCTTCCAACTAAAGGAATAATATTACACCTTGTCTTATTTGTGAAAAATCACATCGGGTAGGTCAATGTTGGATTGAAAATGGAATTATATGCTCAAATTGTAGAGGTTCTCATCCTATAGATCATTGTAGAAGATCCAACGAAGTTAATTCCTCAACTTCTTCTTCAAGAGATTATAATATCCAAACTGGAAGAATTATACAAGGAGTTAGATTTGTAGATCCTATTATTACAAAAAATCCATCATTTTTATTATGACTCTTTGAGCAATGGTCAAAATCATCATCCTCCAATAATAGTTAAAATCAATTATGGAACATTACAAGAATCTGTAGCCTATATCCAAAACCAAAACCAAAACCAAAAATCACATTCTTCTCAAGATGTTAGATATACAGTGGCTCAACTTGATATACCTACTACATCAATCTTACTATCTCCTCAATTCAACTTGGTTCAAGTAGATAATAAAGAAATCTTCAAGAACAATGTATATTTACCTTCTTTGGTTGTAATTAGAAGTATGAGTGCTCAAAAACCAATAGATTTAGCACCTCTTGAAGATGATGAAATATCTTTGGATACTTTAGAAGAATTATCTAAGTTTGTAGAATTTACAAAAATTTCTCAAGAAGTAGCTAAATAACTAAAATACAACCAATCATCTTCTTTGATTGAACCTAATGAGGAAGAATATCAATTTGTGGACAAAGAAGGGCCTTGGACTTCTAATAACTTGTTAAAACATCCAACAATTATTAGAGCCTTTAATCTTGCAGAACCATATGATTTATGGCAAAACCTTTGTAGGACTGGAGCCAACATTTCTTTTGGTCAATTGATTCAAGTTACACCAACCATAAAAAATAACCTCAAAGAAGGTATAATTACACAAAGATAAACAAAAAATAAAGAAAGAATAGCTAGAGTTGAAGTCAGAGATTTAGAAGGAGATATTACCTTGGAAGAAGAAAAAGACAATAGAAAGTATGGACCTATTGAGATAGATATAGAAATAGTAAATAAAGTAATTCCTAAGGTCATAGTAGATGATAGAAGTAGCATCAATATTATGCCCAAATCCACCATGATCAAATTAAGATTAAAAATCAGTCATAAGGTAGTTATTAAGGTAAGTCTAGCTGATCAAAGACCTTCTCAACCTTTAGGTCAAATTCAAGACCTTCGTATACAAGTAGGAGGTGTAGATTATATGGTATCTTTTTATATCATATACCTATATGAAGAAGTGGATAGCTATCCTCTATTATTAAGAAGAGGATCGTGAAAGCAATCTAAAAGAGTAACAAATTGGGGGCTTTTAAGCCTCATTTTACTTTTGGATCATTAAATAATTGTACAAAAATCATAGTATTTAGTTACTTTAAACTCCAATCTTTGGCTCCATTAGAAAAAACACCAACATCTATAGATGCCAAACAAAGTAGTTTTATTCAATCTAATAAAACTTTAATAATTGTACCAATAAAATGTATTGATCCTGGATTGTATGAATATAAAGATGAAGGTGATTTTGCCAAATGGTTAGAAGAAAATCCGTATGAAGAAGAAGACATTCAAATTCGATTATAGAAGTAATTGATTGGTTGGAACTTGAAGATGATTGTCCAGATCTTGCAACCTTAGTTGATGATATTTGTATAAATGAAGCTTTTAGTTTGGAAATTGATGGAATTCAAGTAGATGATTTAGATACTATTATAAAAGAAGGAACCATCATGCCTTTTCTATTACAATTCAAATGTACTTCATAAGGCATTGAAATTGGACATGATATATTGACTTATCCACCAGTACCTAAAGATTGGTACCATGGACCCACTGACTCCATACATGTGGTAGAACAAGATTGGATCAAAATTCCAGTAAATCATGATGAAGAAGAACCCAAATATGTCAAGTTTGGATCCCAATTAGGAGAACTTGAGAAATATAAATCCTTAGTAATAGAATATTGAGATATATTTGCGTGGTCTTATACAGATTTAAAAGGTATTCTTCCTAGTATTTATCAACATACTATTCTACTTATTCTAAATACAACACTTGTTAAACAAAAATATTGAAGAGTCAATCCTAGGATGTAACTCATTGTGAAAATATAACTGAAAAGGCTACTTCAAGTGAGATTTATAAAGTCTATAGAAATTATAGATTGGTTCTCTCATATCGTCTTGGTAAAGAAAAAGAGAAGTAATAAACTCAAGGTGTGTGTGGATTATTGGGATCTAAATAAGTACACTCAAAAAGACCATTTTTTATTACCTTTATCACTTCTATAGTAGATGATGTGGCAGGTCATAACATCTATAGTTTTATGGATGGCTATTCTAGTTACAATCAAGTATCAATAGCTCCTGAGGATTGGTACAAGACTGCATTTACATCACCTTAGAGAACCTTTAATCTATTATTAATTTTTTTTAAACATACTTGTATTATTTTCTTATCTCTTTTACTTTTATTTGTCTCAATTATATATCTACAAAATAAATAGAAGTTACTTCTATAAAAGATAGCATTAAGACTAAATCTTTTACTACCTTTCTATCATTTGTCTTTATTTTTTTATCACTAGATTCTTCTATAATAACATCCATATTTTTTTTTTACTATATAATTGTGTTACTATATAACAACATATAGATAGCTTGTGGTACAAGCTAACAATATAGTGTATATATTGAAAAACTTGTTTTGTATATTAAGTCATGTATTAGAGGTTATATAGAATGTTGCCATATAGTTTCTATTAATGGACTTATAAAGTAGGTAGAAATCTATTTGTCATAAAGCAATATTAATATTTATTAATTTTTCTACCTTCTTGAATATTATCTATATTTTTAAAATAATTTTTTATAATATTTTTATTTAAATTCTATAATGATATAATCATTCTTTTTTTTCTTTCATCAAATAGCTGTATTATAGCATAATAATATCTTTTTATAGAATTAGATAAAAATCAAAAGTTAATAATAGAAAAAATATTCAAGTCAAGATAATACCAAAATAGGTTAAAATAATTTGTATATTGACATGGATATGATATTAGTGAGCATACATAAGAACCATCTAAGAATCTTGCAAATACAACAAAAAAGGTTGATACTTTTTGTTGACAATATCCATTAAAATCAAGATAGAGAATTACCTAAATATATATTAAAAAGATAATAAGATTTAAGGAAGATTACATTCTATCTTTTTTTATTTTTTATAATTTATTTGTATTT